GTAAGAATCAAAAAACTGAATAAATGAAAAAGACACTCGACGAAAATACTCAAACGCTGGATGTTCAAAATTGGAAATAATGGGCAAACCAAGTAAAGAAAAAATAGTGGCATTAATAGCAATGATGCAAAGAAGTATAGAAGGCATATTGAAAAATAACTCAAGGATAAACAATGAAAAAAAATTGAATAACACAAATGGTCTGAACGAACCTTTATAAAGATTCGTAATATAAGCAAGCTAAATCAATTATCATAATAACAAAAAATTATCGCACAACATACTAACCAAAACTCATCTTACTCCCTAACATACAATGATACCCTAAGCGAAACCTTATTTACAAACTACGGCATTAGCCCACCCATCAAAATCACAATAACTCATCCTCCAAAAATCGCTAGAACATCACCCACGTTGTATCAAATAAAACGTTTAGAAATCCAATGTCTTCTACATCCCATCACCCAACAATGCTATTCAATATTTCCAGATTTATTAAAACGCCGAAAGAACATAAGTACAAATTCGCTTCTATAACAATTTGGCTTAGAACAACTCTAACAATTATTTGACACCTTGCACAGGCATCGAACAAAATAACGCACAATAATCGCATAAAGATAGCAACCTTTATAAACTCCACAAAAAAAAAGATATATGAACCAAAATTTAAATTCCCTCATTAAAAAAACTCGGAAAAAATAGCACCATACAAATCCAACTAAAGATCACACCTTAAAACCAACGAAACAACAAAGTTCAAACAACAGTACAATCGCTAAAAAAACTACAACTTAAACACATCTCACAATCTTCAAATCTTAGCGACACAAGAAAAAAATCCCATCTCCAGCATAACACACCACACTCTCACAAGTCAGGCTAAACAAAAAAGCATCACAAACAAAAATCCGAAACAAAACAAGCAATAACACTAAACAAAAATCCGAAACAAAACAAGCAATAACACTAAACAAAACCAAGAAATAATACAAATACTTTTATAACCATTTTATCTTTCGTTTTTACTCAATTTCCTTTATTCTGACTACTAACTTCTTTACTTCGTCCCACAGGAGTCACAAACGTTCACAAACACAATTGCTACAAAACCTAAAAAAGCTCACAGGAAACAATTAAACCAACATACCAGAAAACATAAAACCAGGTCCTATTATAATACCAAAAAAAAAATAATCAAAGAATAAACAACTTACAAGAAGTATCAATAAAAACCAACATATACATCGCATAATCAAACTTTAGACAAAACAAATCTTTAACCAGTAAAAATACCCTAATAGACCTCTACTACATGTGCAATCAATAAAGAAACCCCCATTAAAAAACCTAATAACCACATTTAACAATAACTACAACAAAAAAATTAACTAGAAGACCCTTCGAGCATATTCGAGACAAATCCACCTCATTAAATTACCAAACTAAAA